GGTGACATCTCCATCGAAGTGCGGCAACGTTAACTTCTCCGAATGGATCGGTATGTTGTGCGACGATGAAGAAACCATCTTGGACTGCTCCATAGTCTGAGTGGGCGCGAGCTGAAGATGGTCCAACTGCTGCACAGCGTCCAACTGTGGAGACGGGTCCGACTGCGAAGACAGTAGACCCATCTGTGGACGTGGGGCATCGTTATCGCACAGACGATGATGTGATTGTGGCAGTTCAGTTGCCCTCGTAGCTGCATCCTCACAGATGGAATTGGTGAGTCGACGGGCACAAAGGAACTGGCATTGTTCGCTATCCGCTTCCTGCGTACTCTGCAATTTGCGAAGGAGTGCTTCGGCGTCGGGCCTGATGTTGATTCACACCGTGCTCTTCCTCGAACTTGCTGTACGCCTGCTGATCCGTCGGCGAATTGGAGATGGTGATGTGATACAGAACTGTAGCGACGTTCACGCAAAAGCGAAAGTGCGGACTCCAGACTCTCTATACGAAGCTGTGTGGCTGGCTGACGTTGCTGGAGCTGATGAAGCTGCTCGACGGCTGGGGTGTCAGACACAAATGGGGTAAGTAGATCGGAACTTACCTGTCTCCTAACAGCTTCCAAGTTGTCGATGGCTTTGACGATCTTTGGAATGTAGGATTCTACGGTAGTCATGTCGATCAATAGCAAGCTGACTCGATAATTTGCAGGAGGTGTAACTGCACTAACCCGAAGTCTGAAATTGTACTCAGCAATTGTGTTCGACAGGGAAGTGAACCGGTGAAAACAAGAAACACGAGTGAAACGAAAGATATGTTATCGGCATAGGCTGTTCAGATAAAATCCTGCCCAGTGTGTGTTCAAACCTGTAGGAGGGCAGACGTGATCCATGGTAGCGTCCGGATTATGGGGCAAGCCCCAAGTGCCGAAGGTTGAGGACGAGTGTTATCTCACATGTGTCGTGCGTACTGCTAAGCGGGCCGGTGGCAAGGGCCTCTAAGTGTGCATAGTTAGCATAGCGGCAGGCTAAGCATTCACATATCGCCACTACATTTGTCCTGCTATACTTTCTCATGGAGCGAAGCCGTGGCTCCTACCGCCAATGCAGGAAATCCTGAAGACCACTAATGTGCGGAGCTGGGGGCCCAATCCGCGACATGGCGTATCGGCTCGGAGTTGAGCATAGAGATAGCAAACTTATGTTCA